ACAAAGCTAAATGATGATGTGAAGGAATTATTAGGAATGTTAAGAATTGCATTTTAAAGTTTATTTTTATTTTTAAAATGTTTCTATACTTTCAGTGTTGGCATCTGAGAAGTGAACTGATTCTACTGCTTTTTAGTAGGGCTTGTTGAGAGATGTGAGACGTAAGATGTCTTCATAAACATCAGAGTTCTGGGCTTGAGTTTGGGTACTGTGCTTGTACTGCTGGTAGCAGAAAAATTACTGACGTGGCATCGGACAATCAGTAGCACGACAAACCACTGATTGCTAAACAGTCTGTTTTGTGTTTTTTGGTAACACGTTTAGTGCAGACAAACCTGCATTAAAAGTGCATATTCTGATGTCTGTAGGAAGTTCATTTAAATGTATTTAGTTCAGTTACTGTAATTGATACGAGATGGGCCAAGTTGGAATACCTGTTCAGTAGTTCTAGAATTACAGTTGTTTCTACTACTAGCAAGATATCCTCTGTGGTCTTTCCTTCTGTTTTACTACTTGGCCAAGAATATAATTTGTACTTCCGACAGTGTTTATCCTATTTAATAAAATGATCTTTAGGCTGATGGCCTTTCTATTTAGTAATACCTGAAACTCTGAAGTTTCAGGAAAAGGAAGGGCTCTCCTTGTAAGCCAGGTTTTCTCATGGACGACTCATGTCCGAAATAGAACATTAGTCTTTATTTGAAGATTAGAAGGTAATGTAAAAGCATGATGAAACGATAGTTTGTTCACCCTACTGAACTGCATTTCCATCCAGGTCTTTGTTCGTAAAAATGTAAAATGTTCGTGCTAACTCCTCCCATCCTGTCTGCTTTGTGTTTGGAATCAGTGAAAATCAAAAACAAGAAACCCCAAACAAACGAACTTGGAAATGCCTCAGAGAAGAGAGCTAGGAAATTCTTACGGAACAAATAGGTATTATGCACTAAAGGAGCATGTGTGTGTGGAGGGTTGCATGAACACAAACTTAACAAAAATTAAAAAAAGGTTTTGGCAGGGTGGGCATCACTTGTGGCACATATGTGCAGTATTTGCTTCGGACTTTGAAGGTGTTTCAAGGCACTGTGGTACTCTTCAGCCAAATCTGGTCTCCTGTTCACTTGCTGTATGTCTAACGTCAGCCTTGATGTTACACTTTTTGCCTGTGGTTTTCAAATTTTTGAATAAATAAAATGAATATTTTTCTTTTTGCAGTGGAGCCATTGAAAGTGCTTGTTCTGTTTTCTGTGAATGCCTGGGGACTTCAACTCCATGGGTTTCATTTCCAAAGAAAAACTATTTCTAGGCTCTCTCCTCACTATTTGCACTGCAGGTTGTTGAGGCACCTCACAAAGTCAGACGGACTGTTTGCTGTTATACACTAATACTACCAGATACGCATTTTTAAAGGTTATTTAGGTGTTTTCAAATCACTAGAGATGAAAGAAAAGCGAAGAATAACTGAAGAGAAGAACACAGTAGTACACGCTCAGCTGGGCCAGACTCTGCTGTGCCCCAGTATGTGCAGCGGATGGCTGTGAGGTCACAATCCATCGCCCGGTGGTGTCACACACCGTGATTTTGTGATACAGAGCGCTGTGCTTTGGGGCTGTCTCCAGGGAAACCTGTTCAGCCCAAGAAGGCTAGAGGGGACTCTTTATCAGGAAGGCAGTAATGGGACATGTGAGTCCTGTCACTGTGAGTGACCCCTGTGATAGGGCTGTGAGTTTAGAATAAAAGAGACTGGATACTGATTGGGTGTTGGGATGAACTTGTTTCCTCTGGGGGTGGCGAGGCAGTGGAGCAGGCTGCCAGGGGAGCTGTGGATGCCCCATCCCTGGCAGTGCTTCAAGCTGTGCTGGATGGGGAAAGGAGCAGCCAGCCCAGTGGGAAGTGTCCCTGCCTGTGGCAGGATGGTTGGCACGAGATGATCTCTCCGGTCCCTTCCAACCCAAAGCACTCTCTGCATCTGTGAAGAGAATTCCAACCAGCCCCAGCCTGTGTTGCCCACTGCGGTACTGTGGTGTTGATGTTGGTGTTTCCCAGCAGACACCCTGGCCTGGGCCTGCTCTTCCCAAAGCCCTGCCAGGTGCCCTGGTACCTCCCTTTTACGTATCCAGCCTCCTACTGAGATAAACAGCTTGTCCCTATTTACGGTTAGCCTCATCCATCCCAACTTGACTACGGTGATTCCTTGATTTGGTTTTTCAGTCTCCATTCTGACCCCAGGCCCGCAGCTCCTTATTGGGAGTGGAGGGCAGTGCTGAGCTGTGCTCTGTGGGTGCAGTGACAGGGCCTGAGGGAACAGCATGGAGTTGCATTAGTGCAGGATTGGGTGGGAGTCAGGGAAAGGTTCTGCACCAGGGGCGGCTGGCCATAGTCCCAGCTGCCCAGGGCAGTGGGCACAGCCCCATGCTGCCAGACGCATTTGCACAGTGCTCTCAGTCATAGTGTTTGGCTTTTGGATGGTCCTGGGTGGACCTGGGAGTTGCATACATTGATCCTTGTGGGTTCCTTCAAACTCAGGGTATGGTATGAGTCCCCATCTGCCAACTTATGAAGATCATTGGACTGTGCACTTTGAGAAGCATCCCAACAATTGAGTCATCCCTTCTCTGCTGATAACAGGAGTGCTGTCTTCTAAGAGCACTCTGAATTTTCCAGCAGATTTTTACTTTGTCTTGCATCTGGCAGATAGATACTTATTATATCCTAATGCAAAAGACAGTCTGACTCCATTCAGTTTATTTCCTTTTTATCTAACAGTATTGTTAGAGAGACAGAAGACTGTCTCTCTGTTGCTGCTGTGATCAAAGGAAATGAAAAAACACAGGAGACAGTCTCGCAGTGCTGTAGGAACAGGACTGAGGTGTTCTATTTTTCTTCATTGGTTAGCAGGAGTACAGATTTCTTCCACAAATTGCACTTGTTCCAGATATTCCACACTTACAGGCTTTCATTGCGTGCTACCTTAAGCGGAAAGAAGCTGCAGCAGCACTCACTGGGAGGAGTTTGTGAAAGCAGCTAATGCAATGGCTTTGTGACTTGAAGAGAAACCAAGCACTGTCTCTGGATTCAAACTGTTTGACAGTTGAAGATTATTTTTCATTTGCATTCTAATTAGTATTACCAGTGAAGGTGAGATTTATCAAAATGTTTGCTATGGAAAAAGGTTTAAGTGGAAGTCTCTTACTGATACTGATACTGCAAAAACTAATCTAATTTCAGCTACTGATCTAATACTGAAAAAAGCTTTAGTAGCACTTGAATGTACTTACAGCAAAGAAAGTGATTGATTATAGTATTGATTTTGTTGTTTTCAGATCCTAGTTAACTAATTGGAATATCTGTGGTATGTGTACATAGTGTGCATATAAATCACAGGATCTCCTGAGTTGGGTAGTTTGAAATATTCCAACGTGCATGTGAGACAAAGATGTGATTCCTTTTATAGGCATCGTGTGGATTTGTAAAGTTGGATGTGAAAAGAACCTTCCAGTATTGGCATGGAAAGAACTTTTAGGAATGGGCAGACTTCAGATCTGATGAAGGGAAAAAGCAGGTAGACATATTGAAGTCTGGTATTCTTTCAGCAGAAGATTGCCATTTCCTAAACTGGAAGTAATTTAATCATGTCTGTAGCTGGAGTACCTAAATGAAATCACTTCATGTAATTACTTCATGTCTAGCAAGGCCTGTGGCCATTTGGATTGTGTATTATGATTCAGATCCTAAAATGAAAGGAGTTTAACCACTGGATGTCCAAAAAGTAATCAGTGCATTTCGTTTTTAAGATATGAATACAGACTGTGTTTCAAATGTCTGAAAAAAACTCCAAGCTGAATCTTTGCTTGTGATCTTGTTGTGTCTGCTAAGAGCACATGTGACAAAGATCAGCTTTAACCTTCTCATATGACTGCACTGTTGCATGTTCCTGTTGATGCAGAACCATTTAAGTATTTTAACAGTTATTTTTGATGTTCCATTTGAGCTGGAGGGAAAAACTGTTCCGTAATTAAGGGGCTACTTTCAAGAAAGTAAGTAGCATCAAAACTGTTATGACAGGATCATTGTGAAGGAGCTGAATGTTGTGGTCACTGTGCTCATGCTGCATGAAGGAGTGTAATCCATGACCAGATTCTTGCTGGGGAGAATCTGCTGAAGCAAAGCAGAGGTTTTGTGCAAATAACTTCAGATTTGTTAGTTGTCAGAAACTACAAGGGAAGGGGCTGCTGCTGGAGTGAGTGACAGCCAGAGCTGCATGCAGAACATTGGCATCTTCAGGAGCAAGTATTGCTTATCAGCAGGGTAACACGTTTGTTGTGCAGCCAAGGAGATGGATAAAGTTGATATAAATGCTTCAGACTCACTTAAGTGGTGTTACACAAAAGAACTTTGTGATAAGCTGTGTTTAGTGGTGGATTGTAACTGTATGTTTATTTGAAAAGAATAAAAATGTATATCCAGGTGATGGAAGGTGATTGCTGTTAGGGGTGTTAGTGCTGTTCTGCTTACCTTCATCTGGTAAGGACGGGTAACGAATATGATATCCAACAGCAGCACCAAGATGCACATCTTGATAATGATTTTCTGTGGCTTTTCCCTCTGGAAAATGTCATAGGAATGATTTATTCAAATGAAGGATTTTGATCTATTACTGAAATAACTGGAACGATACCAGACTTGATTTTGGCAATCAAGCTGTAGAGCCAAATCTTCCCACCTGTTACATGACAACAAAATTCCCTTAAATTGTCTGGTTTCCTTTTAAAGGATCGATTCTGTCTTTAGCCATTCATTTGATTGCCTTACTTGCAATTTTATAAAGTAGAATTTCAGTGAATTTGGATGCGTTTCCACCTCCACTCCCCTACATAATCCCAGCTAGAAAAAAAAACCAAACTTGAAATAAATAACTTGTTTTTCTTAATCAAGTTTATTCGGTTCTTTGCCATGAGGTATATTTGCAAAGGCTGAAAGATTGTGTGTTTGGTCTATTTCAGTGCCTGATGACCTCTCCATAGAAGAAAGAGAAGAACTTATAAATATTCGTCGCAGGAAAAAAGAACTGATTGATGATATTGAGGTAACTGCTTTGTGTATAGAATTCCCTAGGAGACTGCTGCAGCAGATTAAATTACAGTAAAGCACAACTTTTCACTCTCTGTAGGTGTGAGCCATATGTAATGTTTTTATAAGTATGCAAATGGCTGAAACTGAATCTCGTTAATTATCAAGCAGGTTTACGATTCATTTATGTGCTTTTAAAAATGCTGACTTCTGGATCTATGCGATGCTTTGTGTGCATGTGTACACAATTGCTTTGTGCAGTCAGGGACTCAAGAAGCAGTAGGTTTGTATCCAGGATAGGAGTGAGAGAACAGTGTGGGTAAATAAATGTGTTGGAGTTGGTACTGATGGTCTTGATGTTCTGATGGGAGCACACACATGGAGTTGAGATTCATGTCTGCAACTGCCAGCTGTGAGATTTATCCCTTCTCTTCAGATGATTAGTAAATATTTATGAAAATAAAACCTAACTGATTATACTGGTACATGACAGATAGTTTCAAAATGAGTTTTAATGTGGATTAACAGTTTACTTTCTTCTTTTGACAGAGATTAAAATTTGAAATAGCGGAGGTTATGACAGAAATTGATAATCTGACTAGTGTGGAAGAAAGGTAAGTAATGGCAGCATACAGACATGATTCATTAATTCCTTGAAACAGCTATTCCAGGAACAGAAAATAAAAGTGGGTATTATGCTAAATAAACCTTTGGTCACCTTTGTTCTGTCTGTTACAAAGAGCCATAAGTTTGACTTTATCCCATTCAGGTTTGTCTTATGTTCAGGTGGAGAACAGGTTGAACAGAATGCAGTATTTGAAACTGTCCAACTAATAATGAGCAGTTCACTGCTGCAATCATTTGAAGTAGCAGTAAATAGTAACCTACTTTTCCCCCTTACACAAAGTGAATGTCCCAGTTTTGTCGTGACAGAAAATTTGAAGTAGTCAAAATGCAAATTAAAATAAACTTATCCAGAAATTGTTCTGCTGTAGAAGAATAATTGAGATTTGTTTTTTTTTTTTTTTTTTCTCTCCTTTCTCCACTTGTAGCAAAACTACACAGAGAAATAAGCAAATAGCCATGGGAAGGAAGAAATTCAACATGGACCCTAAGAAGGTAGAGTTGTTACCATTGTATTGTTTGCCTGGAATCAGGCTTCTGCTTCTAAAATGATCTATGGCAAATACAGTCTGTTTTCTTACAGCATTTCAAACATTCAGATTAGATAAATTGTCAGCCCTTATTTGT